TGCCTCACCGGGGTTCACGATTGTTCTTCTCGCTGAGTTGGATCCACGTCAGCAAATGCGTGGGAAGGATCATTTCCACGTGGCTGGTACCAGAAAAAAAGCCTCTCTTACTAAACCCTAAACCTAGTTCTATGGATCCACATTCAAGAAATAATTAGGGGTTGTTTGGTTCGTTTTTAACCACTCTTTGAATGGGAGTAGATCTAAGTTTACAGTCTCAATACCCATTGCTTGAAGTTAAAGAGTGAAGGAACCTTTATAGCTCCTCTAAAGTGGTGGAGAATAAATTACATGGATGAAGATTATGCATTGAAATTACAATTTTGAAGAAATTTCTTCCTTGTATTTCATATATTTCATATATCACACTATCTTTTAATATTATATTGTATTATAATTATACTTGTGATTATGAATTGTAGTAATTTAATTTAATTTTTGATAGTGTAAAGATTAAAATACATGTTAATGCTAATAAAAATATTTGTACAAAATCAATTCAAAAATAAATTAGTTAACTATGTATATATAAGACGAAAAATAAGAAATATTTGTAAATTTTTTAATAGAAATATCTTCTTCTAATTCTAAATCAAAATTTGATTTAAACCAAGTTTTATCATTTTTAAATCTCAAAATTTAAATCTATTTACTTTATGTGCATAGCATGAATCATAATGTAATACTTGATTATAGTTAGAATAAGGTTTTCATATTACTTTTAATCTAAATAGTGTGTCAAAGTATATAACATTAAATATGAATATAAAGTAGAAATTTCTAAAAATAAATTTAATGAAAGAAAATAGATGCAATATCAAAATTTTATTAGATGTAAATTATTAGAATTCTATTTTTAATATAAAAATAATACATTTTCAAAATTTTAATGAAATTTACTTTGATAATCTTTGATAATATAGTTGAATCTTGATTTAATTGCTAATTTATTCAAATTTAATTTATTTCCTTCTAATTATATTTATTTCTAAGATAATTTCTTAAAAAATAATATTGACAATTTCATGTCATGTACTAGAAGAAATTATAAAATCAACTCTTTTTATAGTTATTATGCATTAATTTCTTTAGGATTTTTATTATATATATATATATATATATATATATATAATTTTTTTTGTAAGAGACATTATATAAATCTTGTATTAAATGATACATCTAAAATCACAAAGTCTTCACTTTTGAATTAAAGTTTATAACTCTAAAATTCAAATATCTTAAATGAGTACATATGATATGAATTTATAATTAATATTAAATTATTAATGAGTAGATTTAGACTTGAGCTTAATAATTGGTTATACAAAATTAAAATAATATACAAATATATAGTAATATCTGATTTCAGACAATATGATTTAGTATGTATTACAACAAATTGAAGTACCAAGTCAATACATTTTACATTGGTTTGAATGTGATGATGGATTAAAATGTCTTAAATTATATAATATTAATAAATTTTAAACTAATTCTAATTTATATAATAATTAAATATTTATATTTAAAAAATAAATCTAACATTAAATTTGTTTTTAGATAATATTATTAAAAATAAGAGAAAATTACATTGAGGGGCAAATCTATAGAAATAATTACAAAAAGAGGCACAATTTGACATTGTTGCTTCTTTTTGTCATTGCATGTATAGCTTGTGAATGTCAAAGATCACCAAATACCAAATTCTTGTTCATCCTAAAGAACTCCATCATGCTTGGCATCATCAATTGCAGGTATAGAAATTGTGGTTTTTTTTGTCACATTTTGAGTACCAAGTTTGGTTTTTTACGTTGGTCTTACTGTGATTGTGGAGGCAATGTTTTTATAGTTGTTTTGCTTATTTTGTTTTAGACAATGGCATTGCAACACCAATGGCTACTATTGTTTCTACATCAATGGATGTGACAACATTAGCATAGATCTTAAACAACTTACTTGTAGTGTATAAAACATATATCAATAACTCTATGCTTGGATATAACTTTAGTATACTTGTACGACCATGAAGGTATGGCAAGTGTAATAACTAGAAATTGCCACAAGAATAGCTACAACCCCTTAGATTGACAATACAAAAAACATGACTATTTTGGCAACTAACACAAAAAAAAAATCATTTATTTGCTTGTTCTAACAAGTTCATCCTTCTATTTTGCGACTTTGTGCATTTGAAGTGATTTTAGAGAGAAGATGTGTTGGAATGGTTACATATTCAATATATTTATCGTAAAAGGGGCATCTTTTTTTGAACAATCAAAAAAATGACATCAAAAGGTTGCATGTGGTATAAATTAAGGATCTTTAAGTTTGCAACCTTTGACATGTTTAAAGTAAGAACTCCAAAGTGCTGAAATATGGTATGACTAAAGGTTAAATTTTGATGTAGAATAACAATAAGATACTCAAATGCAGCAACATGTATCTTATGAATATTTGCCATCACAACTACATGGACATCTAGAATCAATGTCTTCACAATTGTCCAGATCTTTCGATTTGATTTGATTTGATTTGATTTTTTTTTTTTTTTTTTTTTTTTTTTTTTTTGGAGCAATAATTAATATTCTTCTTAATATGCTAGATACAAATACCTTGGTTTTTAAATGGAAGCTTTGCAGCAACTACATTTTTGATTTCCTAAATATATTATTGTAGTCAATAGAAAAGTGAATGTAGAATCAAACTCAAAATTAAAAACAAAGCATTTATACATCTTTTTACAATCATGCTACTAGGATTTGTTGCAACTAATCTCTCAAGTAGTGGCCCAAGCTTTTGAATCCTCAAACTCTTATCTTTTACTAAATATTTTTAGTACAACTCATGACTCTTCTATGAAGCCATGAATAATGCTTCTTCTCTAATCTTGGTCCATGCATGGTTTGTGATATTGTATGGTCCCATGCATTGTATGTCTCACATAAGTGGTTTAACAAAGTTTGCAAGTTCTTTATGTGAGGCAAAAGAGTTTTAGAAAAGCTAGACATGTCTATAGATGAATAGCAAACTTGACAATATGAATTATTTTGTCTTTATGCCAATTGATCACAACTTAGAACAAGCACTTGACATTTGTGTTCTTGTCTTAAAATTCTTCTTCTTTCTTTTGGCAGATAACCTTCATGGAAGCAAATTTGTCAGCTTTGAATTGATAAGAAACAAAAACTTGATTAGATAGCTTGCAATAGCACTATGGGCATCTTTGGTTGTAGAGAACACTCTTCTAACAATCAATTGTTCTAAGTTGTCATTGTTTGATCTCCCTGCTAGTGATCGTACAATTGCTCGACCATACAAAGAAAAGCAAGACAAAACAAGGAAGAGAAGTATGTTTGAGGAAAGAAGAAAAGAATTAGGCTTTAGATATATATATTTGATTCTCTACATGTAATTATATTTGTGTATGTGCCTTTCTTGGTAATTATTGATTATTTGTGGATGCATCTCTCTTTGTAAGCATTTTGATTAGTACTCTTACTAATAATTATTTTTATTGGTGCATTCCTTGATTGAAGTATCACATCAACACATAATATACTGGTTTGAATATGATGTTGGATGAAAATAGTGTAAAGATGTATTATATTAATACATTCTAAATTAACTTTAGTTTTTATAAATATCTAAATATTTATATGTAATAATAAAAGTAATATTAATTTTTTAATTTTTTGATAATACTATTAGAAATAAATATATTTTTTAAAATTATATTCTTTTGTTACTTTAATTAAATATAAGGAGAATTTTTAATTTAAATATTTAATTTTTTAAACAATAAAGAGTCTTGAACAAGTAGTTAGAACTTTAAAATTAAAAAAGAAAAGAAATGCAATTAGAAACATGACTTATCATGTGTATAAATAAATAAATAAAATAAACCTTTAAAATACTAATATGAACTAATAGAAAAGAATAAGAAATAAATTAATAATATTGAGAGTTATAAGAACATAATAACAAGAATGCAAGTGAAGAAACTTTTTTATAGCTCTATTTAATCTCTATATTCCTCATTTGCCTAAAATCAATAAAATAAAATGTAATAAAATAATTTTAAATCCAAAAAACATCATTTTATACTCAAATGTTCACATATCAATATTTTTAATTACTTTACACACTATCCTATTATTTGATTAAAATTCATGTATAACTTTTATTATTTTGTGAGCTCTTTGAAGTCCAAATGTAATGAATATTTTAAGCTATTCACATTTTAGTTACAACCAACAAAAGAAATGAAAAACTTCTTACAAAAATACAATTCTTGAACTCTTTTTTTAGAAATTTGCTACTCTTACTATTGTAAGAGTATGTAAGTAAAAATTCATCTGGTGAATGTGGATATGAAAAAATATATATTTATATATATATATATATAGAACGTAGCATTGATGAATAACTATCGACGTGTGAGGTACTTGTCGTAACAGTACTTCCACAAATATTCATCACCGATAGTTTGTATAATATAATGATGTCTTGGAAGTTAACGTTTAGACCTTGACACTACATAACACTTTTAAGAATATGTTTCCAGAACATTGATATTTGAAAAAAAAAAAAGAAAAAAGAAACAGAAAACGCAAGGCTGTGTGAATATGTAAAACTGCAAATGCTCTATATGTTGCGGGGGCTTTAGTGGATGGAGCGCAGGGATATTGATCTTTTAATACTATGCTGTTGAAGAATAACCGACTTTGTTTTTGGCGGTTTATGAGTACATTCTCTTGGACGTTACAATTAAATAAATTAAAAGAGCTCCCTATCTGAGAGAATCACATTGCCCTGCAGATTAGTGTTAAGGATGAACCAGCAGCATAAGCGAGTCGAGACCGAGAGAATATAGCTCATGTAATAACACAAAACAAGTCGACGTGGAGAGTTCAAGAGATGTGGCAAGTTGCAAATGAAAATGAAAATAGGACAGTGTAAAGTATCAGCATAGTTTATCGAGAATAGGAATGGTCATAGGATGTAGATAAGGATAGCAATTTATTAACATATGCATAGGTATGATACAATGAACAAAAATAGGCCGTACAAGCTCTCACGATGCAGAAATAACGGACACTCAACAATTCATGACGCATGGACCGGTACTACACTACATTCCATGAAGCAAAAGGGGAATACAAATGCAACATTTTCTGGCATGCGCGAATCGTTTCGAAGGGAACTTAGACGGCAGCAGCTGCTGGAGTGCCGTAGTTGGGGTTCTTCACTCCAGGAGCGTTGTTGTAACCCTCGCGTGTCACAGCGCCAGCGTACAGAGCCAACAAGTACAGCAGCTCTAACAGTGATAAGATGATCATGAAAGCCTCGAGAGTTTTCTGCAAAGAACACAAAAACCCTCAGTTTATGGTTTCCCGCTCATTCACTCAATAAAGTTTGGATCCTACGTGTTTCAGGATGTACAAATAATAATAATAATAATAATAATAATAAAAACGAGCGGAAAAAAGAACAAGAGTTGATCCAAATATAAGGAACTTCGCCGGAGCATATGAGAAATTTTACCAGTCTCTTGTTGCGGCCATATCGGATGTGAATCTCCTTGCATGCAACGCCCATAGCCAAAAGAGTGAGTGTCCATGCAATTGTGGCAGCGGCGGCAGCGGCGGCAAGACTCTCAGTGCGCCACACGGACAGGTGGTGAGCTCCAGCTAAGGTGGAGGCCAAACCAACCATGCTGGCGATAAGCACGAAAGCGAGGAAAATGCTCGTTGCAGTGTTACCTGCAAGTCATATGAAGAGAGAGAGAGGGAAAGCGTGAGCTCATGCTTGGAAGGATAAAACTTCATCCAGTCATTAAAACTGGACAACTCTTCCAATATTCTTCGACAGACTCCGATTTCCATATCAAAGGGTTCAGTGGTCGCTAGCTCCACTGTTAACATGCGCAATACTTCTTTACCAATACCAAACAGTCCTCAAGTTTCACTCTCTACATAACGACGAGGCCGTTTAAAAAACTCAATCCCCAAGGCCAAAACACGGAGTCCCTACAGTACCCCGGACTCGCGCGAAAAACACGACTAAAAGATAAAAAATCTAACCGTAAATATTGTGACACATCGCAGAACACATCAACTAACTTGCCGAAAGGAAAAATCTCAAAATTTCCGAAACGAATCGTCACGATTCTCTATTGCATCAGTCGGCGCCCACGAGAAACACAACCCCAGCTCCATCTGTCCTTCACACTATATCCCGAGAACCATGAAACCATGCATACGTAGCTTCACAACCGAATCCGAGAAGCATTCTTCAGTAACATCAGAAAGATACACCGAAGGGTAAACCACCACCAAGGACGAAGCTGCCACGGTCGAACGCCTTGTTCAGGAGAGACCCTGCGATATCGGCCGAGATGAAGTAGAGACAAAAGTTGATGACCAGCAGAGGGGCCACCATCCCCTTAGAAACCCCGAAAGCCATAGCTACGGAGGAGCTGGGAACAATCACAAAGCGAGTGTGGGCGAGGAGACGAGTCGCTGCGAGCTCGAGACAATTCCCTTGCACTGATTGTTGACGATGGCGCCGCCGCGGAGCATGGTTTTGAAGAGTCTCCGACAGGGGTCCTACAAGTGTGCTCCAGCCAGCTCAGCCAATTGCACGTGGTGATGCCTGGGGTCCAGCCACTAGTTGGCTGCACACGTGGCGAGGAGCCATGGAGGAGGTTCATTGGCTGGTTCCCCTCAACACACGGCGCCGGATTCCATCACATTTCAGGCGTACAGGCAATGCTTTCCTTTTGGGGGTTCGAGTGCGGAGGGGGGTCTCGACGATATCGATGACTCGTTCTGTCGTGGAACATGCGTGAAGGGTGGACCCGATAGGTGAGAGATAGGGTGCGATTCAGCATGGAAATGCTGCTCGAGATGCCGGGAACTCCGTTGCTCGGGGACGTGGAAGGTGAGGTCCACGTCGGATGGTACATGCGTGGTTGGACCCCTGTGCACTGCTCGGGGCACCGCGTGGCCCCTGAGGTGTGGACGATATCAGCATCTGTTCAATGGGGTGTGGAAACGATCGATGGAGAGTTGGAATACTAACCAAACATAAAAGATTATTTAATATAGTTTTGTATTGACAAAAAAATTCTAGAATATCAGGGTAATTTTTATTTTTATCTTTTATTATATGTTTGAATAACATACAAATAAAAAAAACTTGACTACTTATGAAAATAACTACACATAAGTACCTTTGCTTCTTTGTCATGTAATTGATGTATATCATTGCTCAATATTGTCTAATTTCCAATTCTTTTTGTGAATGGGATGACTCAAATCCACATTGAATGTGACAACAATAACAATGGTTGTCTCAAACAAAGTCATATTTATGATGCTCAAGTAACTTGTGAAACTTTGAACTTGTACATTCATTAGCTAGGTTCTAAAGTTTGAGGTTATTAGCATTGAACCAAGAGTTACTACAAGAGTTAATACTAGTTATTGAATAATAATAAATAAGTGGAGTGAAACCATAAAGTATTAGTCCTTGCCTACAACAGCAAACTAACAATAAAGTGTTGTTGTATTATAAGACAACTATTGAGTGAAAAAGAAAAAAGAAAAAAGAAAAAAAAGGATTATACTATAGAAGAAATTGTTTTAAAGTATAGTGGCAAATGTCTTTTAAAATGTAGATAAAATTAAGAAGAGAGTAAAACCATTTAGTGCCAATACTATTGTTTCATAAAAGAGGTTTCTACTTATTTTATAGGAAAATAAATAAGATAAAATTAAGTAGGTTAATAAAAATAAAATTATAGATAACTTTGGATGAAAGTAAAAAATAACTTACAATAATAATTACCTAGAAATGCCTTAGATTGATACTCAAAGAGAGCCAATTATGCATTAAGGTTGAAATCAAACTTTGAGGCATAAAACCATGCACCTACAATATAAGTGGGATTTTTTTTGTTGATTGGAGAGTAAGTTTTGAAATCAAACTTGATAATTTTTTTTAAGCATTTATTTTAATAGATTTAAATACACAAAGATTCTATGAGAGCTTTGCAAAGTGAGAATTATTTTAGGAGACTCTATTTTTTTATAAAATAAGAAAAGGATCTTATTTTGATGAATTATGTGAATTTTATAACAAATCTTTAAGTAAAATTTTGTGGATGTTTGAACATATTTGTGCTAAATTAGTTTAATAATATTGAGCTTAATTTGACAACCAAATCATAAGCAATTAAGTTTCAAGTGAGTTAGAATTTTAGAAATTGGATTTTGAAGATTAGAGAGGATTTCAATGATTTTGAGCAATTGGCCAATTGGATTGAAATAATGTTTTCATGTATCAATGATTGATTAATTTTTTAAAATTTGTGTAAATTTTGAGATTAACTTAATGGTTCAAAAGTGAGATATTGGTGTTGGAAGTTTTAGATCAAGGTTAGAGAAGGAGAATGATCTTCATCTAAATAGATTAGGAGCATTCTTTCTACATCTCTTAGTTTAATTCTCTTCAAAGTTTGTATGTTTGTTTTAAATAATAAATTAAAATATACATTTTTTTTGAATTAAGACCAATAATTTAAGTAATAATTATTGAGGTTTTAATTTTTTAAAAAAAAAATATTTGAAGTTGAATAGAATATAATAAAAAAAATTTAGATTATTCAAGATTGCAAAGAGAGTGTTTTTGAATACCTTATGTATCATTTATTTGAATTATAAATCCAACTTTAAGGTAAAATCATATCCTTCCACAACTAAATGCCCAATGCATTTCGAGGCTAATTTTCACATAACATGATACTGTACCATCAATGGTTACGACTACACAACCATATTTAATGTTCCTTAGAATTATTTCAAGAGTTGTTTCTTTCACCTTTGTCAATTTGTGGGTGGTTTGTTATTTCTCTTTGCCAATATTATATCAATAGAATTAGACTTTTTATTCTTAGAATAGAAAAAATGAAAGTAGTAGTACATTCAGAGTCTTGTTGCTTCTATTTTATCTAATTAATTTTTTGGTTGTTATCTATGAACATTGCTTTTAAAAAAATCAAACTTCAAAAGAATCTATATTTATTATTACCATTTTTATTATATTTTCTTTTATATATATAAAAATAAACACATGCATTTATTTAAGACACATGTTAGTATAGTTAAAAGTAAAGTGAATTCTACCAACTCTCTTGTAAAATTGTACTATACTACATGATTAAAAAACAAAAATTCAATCCTCTATTCTATTAAAATTAAAATTATGATTTTAGTTATTTTTAAAAAAATATGCATCTTTATTTTTTTAAGAAATGCTTTTACATTTTAATAAAAATTTATAATGGTATAAAATTGAATATGTGTGTTTAATATTAATTTATACATTAAACGAATATAATTATAAATAATTGGTTTATAGAATTCTATAAATGTTCTTTACAAATTAATAACTAGAATTATTGCATTATTATTATAAGAGACAAAGTAAATATATGCACACATTAGTAAATGCTAAGTTCAAATGTACACTAATCTCCTATATTATAGTTAAAATGTATACTAAAATACTAATCATTTAAAAATATGATATGTTACAAATAATTATATTTGTGTGTATTCTAAAGTTAGCATTTGATAATAAACAATGTTGATGTCAATTCTTGAATTTACATTGTTCACACTCTAATCCAAATTTTATAAAATTTTCCTTAAATAAAGAATCTTGTCTTTTTAAATAAGTATCTATTATTAATTTTTTAATAAAACATGTTAAATTATTATATTGAATTTTTTTTTGGTTTTATGTAATTTTATATTACTACCTAAAATAAATTAAAGCGCCAAAGATTAATATATTAAAAACTTAAGTAAATCAAAACATAAAATAAAATAAAATAATCACACAAACCAAATTTTTGTTGTTTACCATAAAGATTCAAATTTTTTTAGACTTGGATGATTTAAGTAAGAACTAAATAAAATAAAATAAAATAAATGTTTGGAATTGAAAAAGCAACCTGAAACTTTAATTTAAAAAATAATGTACCAATTTGAGAAAAGAAAACTCATAAATCTCTTTATTTTAATCAAATATTTTACTAATAGCATACCAAGAATGAAAATGTTTTAATGCAATAGCCTACATTTACAATTTTATTTACAAAAAATACAATCAAACTAGTGAGTCTTTTATTGCTCAATAAATCAATAAATAAATAAATTACATAACAATAAATCATGGTAATAGATTCAGCTATACATGCAACTGCTAGAAAATTCTAGTCTCTTAAGGTCATGCAGATGGGGATCATGTCGCTGTGAAGTCTAAGGGGTTTTTGGGGACTATCATTGTTCATCCTGCAGAATTTCTATTCCAATGTTGTAACTCATTTAACATTATTGGCCACAAAATGTGGTGACTCCACTAAGAACAGCCTTGAAGGAGGTTAAACAATCCGCCAATGTTGGTTGTAAAAAGGATGTACTGATAATGCAGCAGAATAATGATAAGGAAGTACCTGAAGTCCCTAGTGTCTCAAATCCAGGGACCCCTACGAGACTTTTCTAACAAAATCAATAAATTCAGTAAAGAGCAGCTCTTCCTGGACTCTAAACTAAGAATATCACAGAGTTTGAATATCATAGTGTCGTTATTCCTTGTAAGCATGCTCGGGCCGATGCGTGACTTCGTAGTCGAGATGAACGAAGGCTCGTTCTATTTCTGGGAGCGACTCGAGTTTGTTTTGGAGTGATTCGCCAATGTCATGCGCTTGTTGCAGAGGCATGTCCCCTGCTAATACAATATCAACCTCTGCAAAATAATGAGAGCCAAATGTATACGCACGGACAGTGTCAATTTGACGTATGTCCTTGTGATGATTCCAACATAGATATGTTATTTTCCGTAGGAAATCCGGAGAAGCTGTACGACTAACCAAAGCGTTTACATTCTCCAGCACTGTCAATGTCCATGTACGCATAGTGTAGAGTGCCAGCTGCATGGACCAACATCAACGGATCAGAAGAGCAAACAATACGAAGCTGGAATTACCATGATGATGGAACATTTTAACTAGCCAAGAGCTCATCTAGACGTTCAAAAAGCTATTGCAGAGGTGAAATTGCTTAGAATTGAAATGCCGATCACTTTGATGCGACATATCTGACTTATTGGGAACAAGTATCAGTATCACACACAGTTCTCATGGCTGCATGACATCAGTCGCTGTTCACAGGTGAGACGAAGCAAAAGGAAGTACATTTTACTACTTTGAATTAAAACGAAAACTAATGGGCCAAATAAGCGAGAGCTGTCAATTGTCGACGTACCACAATTGCACCTGCAGGATCAACCCACCAAGCAAATATGCTGGACACAACTGCCGCAATTAGACCAATTATGTTGGTAACGACGTCAAAAAAGTGGTCTTGCGCATAAGCCCTCACGATCTCATCACGGAACATCCGACAATACACCATCAGAAGGAACTTTGCTACTGTTGTCGCCACCATGATTGCGACCACCCAGTTCCAAGATTCGGCTAGAGCAAGTGAGTGTTCCTGCGCAACCGTCCGATGAAATTTCCATGTGAAGGACCAAAATAGTCTGGAGTGTCCAGGTAGAACTGTAAGAATTTGGAGTTATTAAAAGGACCATTAATCCGAAAACGTCGCAATTTCGCATCTGCAACAATAGAAAACACCAAGGTTGTTCGTCCTGCCTGTGAGAACAGCGTCCGAGCGGACTCCAAAATAATTTGAAGGCCAAGTGTTGCCATTACTGACGCAAAAACTAGAATGCCCTGTAGCCATAGCCAAAAGCCGATAAGAAATTACACAAAGACCCTCCTTGAAATTGACAATCACACGTCAGTGCAAACAAGTGTTACCAACATGCTGGTAGACCACAGAATCCACGCAGCAGTGACCCCTCAGTATAGAAAACTGATTTTGAGACACTTACGGCTTGCATAGATTCAGTGCCATCATGATTCTCAATTGCGCATTTCAAGACAATAGATTCTACTTTTTATTTTAATTTCCCCTGATCATAAATTTCCTAGTGGAAACATTCAATCTTCCTTTGCAGAAAGCATACTTCTTTTCCAACCATAACTCCATCAACCTCGATTAGAGACAAGAATTGTATTGTACCAAAGGTTGCATCCGCTTTTTCCCAATCGGATAGAGGTAGGGGTTCTGCTTGCGCATGGAAATCGCCGCGAACCAAAGAATCAAGCCAGACAGCAAGTCTAGCAATGAGTCCAAAGTGGAAGCAATGATGGCTAAAGAGCCACTCTTCACACAGGCATAGACTTTTGCTGCGAAGATGATCAAGTTCGCTATATTTGAAACACTAATGGCAAACCTCTCTCTTCGATGTGTGGTGTCTCGCTCTTCCTACAATACAGATGAGTCAAAATACAAAAGGCTTCCTCTGACAATACACGTCTATTTGCCAGGAGCATATCCTCATTCTAGGCTTTTGCCTTACAATCCTTTAAATTAGTAAAGACAATGCGTAACGCCACGTGATGAGACAAATTAACTCATCTATACACGGAAAACTATCCGAGGCTTAAATGCCTCGAAAACTCACTTGGGTGCTGGTGGACATGTACCCTCGGTCTGCTATAGAATCCATTTGCACGAAGCTTTTCAACATTTCTTCCTGCTGTTTATAATAATCATCGACACCTTTTTCACCACCTACAGTTATGGACCTGCTTTATTAGAGATGTTAACAGTGACTTAATGAATGCTCAAAACTCCAGCAGGCGTTTGTCAAAGTCAATGAAATATTATTCAGCTTAGAAGGAGGGATTTGAAATAAGGATCTAAACTACTTTACTTCATCTTCTCCGAACTGATAGTGCGATTTGCGATAGCTGCCTAAAATTTAACGAAACAGGAAGACAAACGTACCAAATTTTTTCGCGCAATCAACGGTGGTGTTCGGTAAATGATCCCGCAAGCGAAATGAACTCACATTTAACCGCCACGGCCTGTCCGCGATCCCATCACCCCCCAAAAGCGCCTCCATAGCTATGCCTTCTTCGGACATAATAGATTCTAATCTTGTCTCCATTGCTGAACCACTGCAGCGTCCCGCACACGAAAATTCCTCCTCTGATCTGTGAAAAACAAATCTCAACTGATAAAATTATCCTACACTTTTCATGAGCCGTAATCTTATATCTGTTCAAATATTACTACAAAAGACTACAACAAGCACTAAAAGTGTCCGCATGAAAACTGTCAGTACCATGACAACCAACATCGAGCACCTAGCAAGTCTATTCCCTTGTTCATCACCAGAAAGATCCACCTTATTATGATGTGAGCAGAAACTTAACCCCTGCTTTTTCTAATGCGCACAATTACATCCGCAACAAGATCGTCCAAGCTATGAGATTCGAAGTAAATAAACATCGCTAAGTGTTCAAATCCTTTCAATAAAAAGGGCGTACACTTCCTTCCGTGAAGGATGCCCCTGTGTTGTAAAGTAACATAGGTGACAAAAAAAAAAAAAAAAAAAAGAAAAAGAAAAGGGTAGCACACTTAAACAGGAATTTGGAATACCGCCACAAAACTCCACAAAAATGATAGACGAACACCTGCTAACGCACTTGAGAACGATGCCCCAGAAAATTGTCCCTCGCAACAATAATTTTAAAGGCACGTTTCTACTCTCTGCCCCTACCAGACCAAGCTACGGAGAGGTCAATATCAACGTCTATGGGCACTCAATGATACTTGAGAGGACAATTGGTTAATGCGGCGCAGTCAACATGTGCACTTCGTGTGCGACGTTTTCGGTAGAATTCGGATTGCGAAAACTATTAACAACCGCCATCAAAAGCGTAGGTTATGGACTCTAAGAGGTTGTCGTGGCCTCCTTCAAGACACGCAGTTCGTAGTTTAGTTTTATAATATCATCGAGAAGGTTGTGCGCTCTCCGATTGGCCTGTCCACGCAAATGCAGCTCACAAGACACTGATAAACGAAATGCAATGCGAAAATTGCTGGTTTGGCAGTTGAATGAAGAAAGAATCAGAATAATCTGTGACATTTTCCCGTATAATGAAGTGAGATGAGGGATACTGCTGCGACCAGCACGTGACCTAAGAGATCCTCGAATCAACCTCTTTCTTTACCCCCAATGCCTCGCTCTATTGCAATTGTTATGCTCTCATGAAGCCTCGCTACCTCCCAAAAGAAATTCACACCGTACAAAGAAGTTTTTCTAGTTAACAAGCTACCGCGCTCACCAGATCGAGATTCCTCTTGAAATGGCTCATCCTCTCTGCCCGGTCTCTCCTCAAACACCTCAAAACTCCATCACTCTGGACTTGCGTCTTGAAAGCTCATGTATGCACTACTTCTTTTCCTACGTAGCAACGTCATTCATCACCTTCCAAAAAATCAAGGGTGCTCCTGCTCCAAAATTCTAATGCTACCGCACTCTCAAGGACCTACAGAACTCACACGACTAATGAAAGTCTCTTTACAAACATCAAACTATTCCAACGACTTTGCGTCCCAGTCGTCGGGAAACAAACACCGTGACTACTACTAAACGCAACAGGAACCTCAAATACTCAAAACCATGTACAATCATAAACTGAATGGCACAAAATCTTTAAACTAGAGCCTTCCATAAGCATTCTACAGACAACGCTCATAAACCGAACCGATGATACAAGAACACCCGCTGAAACGGAAAACTACTTATAAATCGACCAAGACACATTGAAGCCGCACCAGGTGTATGAAAATTTGCAAGAAGACTTCCCAAATTAAAGAGAAAAAAACTGCGTCAACTCTCGAACTACCTCAATAAACAACGAGGCCTGGTAGCCTTGTGCGCTTGAAAATCAATCTCCGTGCAGGAAATCCAGCAATCTTGCTCCACCCCTCAATCTTCGAGGAATTCCCACAAAAAACTAGTAGTGCCACTGTGACAGTGCTCGCTCCTCACGGCCTTCACGCTCCTTCAATCCATCTCCAATTCCCCGCAACCTGAAAGCTCCTTCGGGTGGCAATCCTCCCCGTTCGCAACGTGCCGGTTGCAACGAAGACCGCCACCAAGCGATCCGACGGCCCGGTTCTCAATCAGAGCACACCCTCGTCGTCTTCATCTTCTCGGAGAAGAAGCGGTCGAGTCCCCCTCCGCATCGTCCAAGTGACTTCCTTCCTTCCCTCCCTCTCTGCATTGCGATCCCGTCAGCAAAGAACGAATTCAATTATATAATATATTCTTCTCGAATTTCATACAAATCATGCAGTAATTCTCTCCTCCGAAAAGCCTCTTCGTTGCACCACGTAACGCCCTGGCCTGCGCCGCAGCGCTCCCTTCACGGCTCCAGATGCGACGCTAGTCAGTATCCCCTGATGCTTCTGCTGCTGCTGCTGTCTTCTGACTCACGGATCTGATGCAGCAGCAGCTCCTCCATGGCCCGCAACTCATGAAAAAGCACGGAGCGCAAAGTGGTCAAGTGTTGCTGTTGGCCATCTTCGTCGTCGTGCCGTTAATTTCGAGCTTCAAATATATACAAACTCCTCCTCCTCCGCAGCACCATTCTGCAGTTTAGGGCAAGCTTGGTGAACTGGAAGGATTGAAAGGGGATTTTCCTTGACGATTTCTAGAGCAGAGTCCATGGAAATATTAAGAAATTTGTTATTGCTTAATGAACAGACGAAGCTTCTAGATTCTAGGGTGAGTATTCTAGGGTGAGTGATACTTGGCATTTGGAATCATGAACCGACTCTATTATTATTATTGCTTTTGTTTTTGTGTCCACAGATTGAATCTTTCTCTTTCTATGCACCTTGTTTTAAAAAAACCCAGTGATAGATTCTGTTAAAGTACCCATTCTACATGGTAAATCGTCCACCATTGTTGCAGTTTTTTCTAAAACGTTGCAACAGTTGTAATAACAAACATGTAGTTGTGTTCTGTGTGAATTTTGAAAAGTCTTATGTTTCGGGTCTTTGGTGTTGTGGTATTGTTATTGTATTGGTCAAGTAGATCGTCTAATTTGCAATCAATTAAGTGTACCTATTGCATGTTTGAATGATGTTGATACATGTCTTGCTTTTGAGCTTTAAATATATATATATATATATATATATATATATATAATATTATCCATTGAAAACATATCAGATCTAAGCATGATCATTACCTTTATTAATGCTAAAACCAAATTTTATAAAACGTGTACTCCACCATATACTACACAACAAATTCACAATTTTTTTAAAAAATGGAAAATAGACATGGTTAAAACAATACAAATTTCAAAATCTTCTACTATTATTTGGAATTTGTGTAAATAATTAATTTTTTACAAAAAAGTTGATAGAAGTTGATAGAAAGTTAATTTAGCACTGTGCAATGTTTTTATTTGTTCACAATATTAACCCACAAAAAAAATAAAAAATAAAAAAATAAAAGTCTAGAAATTTACATCTTCATAATTGAATATAACTTAAAATATATTTCTTTTATTGACTTATCATCAAATAATGTTACATTTTCCTGCTTTTTGTCATTAATATTTTTTTTAGTAAGCTTCAAAAATATTTACATGTAGCCATGTGTACTGGACTTTCTCTCAAATACTTCAGATATTTTCTCTTAACACAAGCACATTTCATGATAATTCTGTAAAAAAAATTCAAGTACAAACTGCATTATGTTTTGGATATGAATTTGAACTTGGGAGTATAAACTTTGATAGCTGCGAATTTCAATCATTTAAAACAACAGATATTCAACCAAGAAGCAAATAAATGATATTTAGATTAAAACCCTCATACTTGTAAATATAATGAGCACCAAAAGAGGAATTGAAAGTCATTAAGGAATTAAACAAAATAACTCATCAAAACCCATGAGAGCACTGAGACAATGCAGTCAGTTTTGATGAAACAAAAAGACATAGATAAACAGTAATTTAACCATATCATCTTTCACCATAAATGTACCCATCAGCAACTTAATTTCATTCATTGATCACATTATTTTTGGTGTCTACAACCTACTGTTTATTCAAGGATCACACCATTTGTCGATCAAGCTAAAAATATACCCTAAGACTTCAACTTCTCTTGTTGCTTTGCACTGAAATGTTTACTTATGGAAAAATAGGAAATGTTCTGCATTCCTTTATAGTTGTGAGTTAATCAGAGCTACTCATTTGGAGGTTGTTATTTACATTAAAGTATTCTCGAGAACCTTGTTTCCAGCTTACTAATTTTATAATAGATCTAAGCATTGCAAACTAAGGATGTTGCATCAGCAGTACCTTAAAACTTGATTTCAGTGCAGTTATGTTCCAATAGATGAAGGAAGTTGCAAGCCATAACGGCAACAGAATTTTACAGCTCAATGCATTGTTCTGCCAAGTCAAGTCAATGCAGGTGAAAACCAATGCTCCGTGCAAGAGGTACGAGGTAGCTCCACAAATGCCGTTGCTCTGCAAGCCAACTACCTTGTACAAGTCACACCCACCTTAGCTGCTGTAGCGGCGCCAGAAAAGTGACAACGCAGCTTTTCATGGAATTCCAAGGATGACGATCATACTGAAAAGCCAATCTCGGCCACTGTGTTCGTCCTTACAATACAGACATTGAAACAAGCACATCCAATTGTGGTTGAGGCACCGAAAAAGCTAAGCGTTGATGCTCAACAGTGGAATGATCACCAAGATCCCTTGACAAATTTCATATGGGTACAAATGTGACTAGGGACTAACTTCAGGGTTTGAATGTTTCTAGATCAACCCACCACCAAGGAAACCTCGGCGATGGTGCTTCTTCAAGGCATCTGCAAGGCTGGCAACAAGTACACGTGATATAGAAAGCATAGCATAACTTACAACACAATGTGTCAAGTCACGTGTTTCTGAAGCTGGACATTGTAAGCTGGTAGCTAAGAGGAGTGCTAGCGAAAAAGAGACAGAGATCATACCAAGCTTAAGCTGAAGCTCAGATACTGAAACTATTGGCAGAACGCTGCAATTCAGCATTACAGAGAGATTTGAAAGATGGTTGGAACCCATTTTCTATTAGTACAACCATAGTACCGACACAAAACCAATGTCAAAATTGGGAATTACAAGTTCAGAGGACGTCGGCTGATGATACTATATCAAGCTACAAATACAGGGTTGCAGTCCTCAAATGTAATATCTTTCAGCACCGGGGAATGGCTTCTCAAGGAGAAGTAGAAAACAGACATTCTGTTGTCTTTTGCTACCACTTCTTCGGTAAAATCCCCTATTTTCACTCTATGCCAGATTGTTTACAACCGACTATGATAATTTTCTCCACGATAACCATAGGCCAAGAAAAGAGCGAGAGAGAGAGAGAGAGAGAGAGAGAGAGAGGGGGGGGGGATCTTTGATACAAGTCACATGACTGTAAGATCCTATCGGCACCTACTTAATGTGTCAATAATCAACTACAGGAGGGTGAGAGAGATAAGGGGGAGGTTACAAAAGAAAGATAAAAGGAAAAGAAAAGAAAAGAAAAAAACAGTACTCCTGTAGTGAAGGTATGATCTAACCCCACCGGACAATCGCTGAACCCCACGTAAGACCTGCTCCAAACCCGGCCGTGGCCACCACGTCACCAGCCTTCACCTTGCCACTTCGAACAGCCTCATCTAATGCTAAAGGTATGGAGGCTGCACTGGTGTTCCCGTAGTTAGCAAGATTAGATATCACTTTCTCGGATGGTATGTGTAATCGGTCAGACACAGAATCAAGAATCCGTTGATTAGCCTGCCAGATGCAAATCAGGTATTAAGACCCTCAAATGAGGAAGGATAGATTACTCATCCAAAATCTGGCGTGTATAGATCACCATAGCGAATTGAATATCAGTGCAAAGTCGTTCCAAGCAATTTTGTTACATATGAACTGCTCGGACCAGATATAACAACCCCGCCTGAGACTGTAGTTCATGAATTAGGAGCCATGCAGCTGATTGTAGTTGCCCAGTAGGAAATTAGATACCTGATGAAGAAGCAACCAATCCACGTTGTCTCCTGTAAGGCCAGCCTCCTGCAATGCTCCTTCCACAACCTGAGGCACGGCTCGTACAGCGAACTTGAACACTTCCTTCCCATTCATTTGAAGACATTCATATGTAGCCTTCCCAGGCAGTTTGAATGTAGATCCGTTCGTCTCAGCCCCATTAGGGGAACTATCAACATCATCTACTGTCACGTGCAAATGCCTGCAGTATCCTCGCCAAAAGTCCAATTCATTGTACATGTAAGCTAACGACTGATTTGAAAAGTACCCCATGTTTACAATTAGGCAACTGTGCAACCAATTGGAGGAACTATTCGAGTAATACAGAAGGTAGACTGTTCCAAATTAAAGAGGTAAATAAATAAAATAAAAATAAAAAAACAAGGAAGAAACATCCTGTAAGGTAAATAAGCCTTGAGGTGGAACAATAGAAAACAGATGTAATTGAAACGTACACCTACCTACGCGAATTAAGCATGAGCAGTAAAATGACAAGCCCAATGATCTCTTCTTAGCAGACCATCAATAAATGAAGAGAGGAATGTGAAAACAGGAGAAACCCACTTATGTCCGTTTCCATCACTACGTAGGTCGAAGCCAAGCAAGCTGTCTTGATCATCAGTTGCTGCCTGTTGAAAGAGGACCGCAAAATATTAGCGATACGATTGAAATGAAATATCACATACGCGGCTCATGATGATGTAGCACCTACAACCTCGACAACCCGAAGATGATTGACTGGCGTTACTGGGTGAGAGGCAAAAAAGTTTTTAGTGGTCATTTAAGTAGTAGCATCAAGTTTTTCCTAGAACTTAAGTAGCAACAGACCTGTAAAAGAAGCGCTCCAGAGGCATCGCCAAACAGAATACATGTCCCTCTGTCAGTCCAATCCACGTATCGCGATAGAGCATCCGCACCCACCACAAGTACATTCTTGTAACCTCCTCCTGCACACACTTTCGAAGTTAGTTTTAGACAGCCAACATCATGTGATTCTCTAAGTAGATAGGATGAATTAAGTGCACCTTTCAGTGGACTTAGTTTCCCAGCGTGAATTACCACGAACCAAAGCCCCTCTAGTAACCAAGCAAATAATAACTGACAACATCGATGGAGGAGAAAAGTAGACAAGTCATTCAAGGCTGTGTGAAACAGTACCTCTAATAAAGCGAGTGGCCGTCACAAGTCCCAGAACAAAGCCACTACATGCGGCCGTCAAATCGAAAGCTAAGGCATTATGGCATCCCAGCAACTTCTGCACCTGAAAACATTATCATAAAATGCCACATGAATATGAATAGCACATTCTCGGTTCTAAATAAGAAGGCAAACACAATTAACGGATCACGCTGACGCCGTCGGAATTATTTTTAATTCGACGCAGCATACGCTTACATACAGCTGACAGAGTACCAAGTTACACATGAAAGGATGAACGTTGTTTCACATGAATGAGACCATAATATGAAGCACCTCATAGAGCAAATGCGATTATCCACTACAAGAAGTAAACGTAAGCTTCAATCAGTCTCAAAAAGATCTGAAAGAGCACCATCAAACTTGATAAACAGACGGATCTCTATAGAAAGAATTGCAAAACACATATCCACATTAGGCCCTGAATCGCAAAAGACTCGGTACACAAGGATCCGCATCAACCTCAATACCTACCTGTGGAGCGCTGCCGAACAGATCGTCTGGGGTGGAAGTGCAGAGCAACAACAAATCAACCTCCTCAGGCTTCACATTCGCCATTTCAAGGGCCTTTCTTGAAGCATCAACAGATAAAGTTGTCAGAGATTCATCTTCTGCAGCATTTCAAGAAACCAAATCAGATCACTGTCTAGATTCGTGTCCCTTGTGTGAGTCGAAATCATGGGATTGCATAAAACTAAGATGTGTATGCTCTTGTTTAGACACGCGAGGTACAATTCGCGAGGAACATGCGCTGCATGGTTCGACCTCCAGAATACAATAAAACTGACAGTGATTGTATCACTAAAGGACGGAATTGGCAAGCAGGTGAATATTTCTACATTGCTCTACTCGAGTTGACCGGTTCGACTTGTTCAACCCCCTAACAAATGGCTCATACTCCTTATGCAATGCATGTCCGAAGAGGCTAGTGTCCTAGAGACGAACGAAAGAATCAGAGCCCAAGAAATCATCATGTGGAAGGTTTCTCGCCTCCAAGTACACGACGGTTGCGAATTCCTGTTCGCAAGGAGATCCACTCATCCGAAGTGTCCACAAATTTTGAGAGCTCCTCATTTGAGATAACATGCTTCGGGACAGCCGACCCCGATCCAACCAATCGCGAGCCCCTCCCTACACGCCTGAATAGCCAACCAATGACACGCACTTTAGAAACCTCTCAGTCCTCCCTCCTTGGATACTGCAACTCCTCCTTATCCAAGAGTTAGGGCACTGGCCTCTGAATTACCGGAAAACGCAACGTTAAACGAGAAAAGTAACAACCTTCGTTTCTGGACTGCAGAAACCTGCCCTTCATTCTGCTTCCCTCCCTCCGATTCCGACGATATAAGTGAGGTGTCCCTGCTGGTTGATCCGCCAGTTCCCAATCAGGACCAACCAAGAAACTGGAACACAGATTCCCAACACATTCATGCCCAAACCATAACTCTCACACAAGCACAATGACAGACGCCGCCGAGGTTTCACTGCCAAGAGTGGATAAAAACACAAGGAGATCGCAAGGAGAGCGATCTCTCACCCGTTCGAAGGTGAAATAACAGCTCGACATCTCAGTACGTGTAGTGGCGAGGCGCTAGAATACGCGAACCTTAGTGAATTCCTCTCATAAGCGCTTGCACCTCCTGTTCACCACAGCCATTCACAAGACTTCAGCAGATGTGGTCCACCAATGCAAGCACCATACAAGTAAACTGAAAAACTAATCTCAATTCGAATACGATCACCAGCAGACAATCCACTCAAAAATGTAAATGCCATGATTACCACTCAATCTCCCCGCCCAAGACCCCCCCCCCCCCCAATTCTCCATTCTCACAAGCAACAACATTTCCTGAACTAATCATCAACAACACAACCAAAACCCCAGGCTCAGAACCACCTCCAATGGATCCAGGCCCGACAAACGCAACCACAACCCACGCTCCCAAATCCCCATTCCTCTCAACAACTCAACACTCCCATCTCTCTCCACTCGCCCATCTCATGCCCAACTTCATCGACACAGCGGCACTCCAACAAAAAAGCCCACCTCGAAAAGAAGGCGCGCTTGACGCGCTCCACGACGCTGAAGAGCGAAGAGCTGACGCTGAGGAGGAGGCCATGTCCAGAGACGAAAAAAACGCGCGCCTGCACTCCAACTCCCCGCAACACCGCTACAGGAATGGTTAGATTCTGCGAAAAAGCAGCAGTTGGGGAAAGAGCGAGGGAGGGAGTGAGAATGTGGGAGCAAGCAGAGTGCACTGCAATAGATCAAATACGAGAGACGCGATGACGATGAGTAGAAGGGGATGATGAGATGGAGAATGGGAAGAGGGGGGGGGGGGGGGGGGGGGGGGATGGCTGCTGTGCAGGTGCTGATGCAAGTGCTGCGGCTGCACCAGCGCTGCCTGCCTGCGAAGGGTGATGAAAACGAGGAACCCCTTCTTCGGTTTCTCCTTCAACAAAGGAGGTGCTGGCGCTGACAGTTCTCGTTGGACGAGCGTCTTCATCCGTTCTCGTCCGCGCTCCATCTTCCGTTTTGTCGGACGTAGCGTCCAGCCGTCGGGACGATGACGACCGCAGTCGTCGGACGGAGGCTTTGATCGTTTCTGACGAGGACGGCTCGTGTCGTTGGGCGAAGTTTTTGGTCGTTCGTTCTCGGCTGAGTCGTCCGTCGAACTCCGTCGCTTGCTGTTTAGACCACAGCGTAACCATTCATTAAGTTACTGTGTACATTTATCCTTTTAATATTATTTTTTTGGATATTTATCTGGTTTTGGGTTTTTGGAAAAGAGTGAAATTTAATTAACTGTAGAAAGGTATGGAAATTGTATTTAGACTTGAATGTAGATGCCACACACACAAATTTTGTGTAGTTAATATATATTTATATTTATATTTAATTAATCTTCTCTAATATTAAGTGACATGTGATGAAAATGACAACCTTTTATAATAAATACCAATTCTAGTACATGAAAGTAAATAAGTTCAAGTAAAAGTAGATAAAAGCATGATGGGAAGATAGTATCTTCTTCAAGAATTCCTTAGAAACTTTGTAAATGTAGATTATATCTATAAATTTTCTAGATATGCCTCATAGTTATATATGGGTCTTCTAGAAGTTTTCTTCTTTCTAAAAATTGTTGTAGAGCCAACTTTCAATTTAGACAATTGGTCTACAAGCCTCTTGGTCTTTAGAAAGTTCTTAAATAGCCTTATTATTAACTAATGCATACACACACACACACACACACACATATATATATATATATATATATAGCATATTAACTCATAAAATTGAGCTTTTACAAAATTACTGATTTAATATTTCAAACTAAATCAAGGTTCCACTTCTATCAAAAATTAAGTAAGTTTAATAAATTAAAAAAATAAAAAGTAATCATAAATTCCATAATATCTGAAATTCTTAAATATTTTTCATACTAACATCATAAAAATTAAACTCACAAAATTGCTGCAATAAAATTTCATTACGACGTGACACCCACTGCTGGTTGAGATATTGTTCATATCATATATGCTTTAAAACAGTTGCAATAGTATACATTTAAATTTTTTATGTTTGAAATCAAAGAGCAAATTAAGGGATTTACAAAATATACTGCAATCTTGTTGTTTAATGCTTCCTTCTCAACACGAGAAAAGAATTTGATATTCTTGTCAATTTGACTTTTCTTTTTTTAAAGCATGATTAGATACGCCTAATAATAGGCATGCAATTTTTTGTAAACTCAATTAAAATGAGATTTAATTATTTAAAAATAGATCGTAAACAAAAAAAATGCATTACCATAAAAGACAAATCAAACAAAGAAATCACATACTGCCAACAAAACATAATTTATGATTTGCATGCAAACAAACTCCAACATACATACACACTTACAGACAAATGGTATTCTAATGTTATAGAAAGATAATGTTATCATGTGAAACCATTTAAACCCAAAATTGATTGAATTTTTGTAACACAAACTTCTCCAAAGCAAGCACTGGAAATAAGCTTTAGGAAATTGGACGTAGATGGTATGAAATCACACCAATGATTCACACATGTGATGGGAATTCTTAGGAAGGCAATGAATATGTTGATATGAACAATATCTCAATCAGATTGTGATGTCATTTTTATTTATTTTTTTAATTGAAATAAGAACTATATCAATTTGATTGAGATATTTTGCTTATCTCAAGCAATATCTCAATCAGAGTTTTTTTTTGTCATAAGACAATAGATGGCCTCAAAAAATAATAATATGAATATATTGATATGAACAATGTTCTACTACATGGCCTTAACCAATATTCTAAATGATATACAAATGTATTATCTAAATTGTTTGAAGTGTGTCTAAATTCATGTTTGTGACAATTGGATAAGACTTACGTGCACAAATTTGACCTTATTTGTCCAACCTATGTATTTTAAATTTGATTTGTAGAAACCTTAATCAATGGATCTGTTTATTCTTAGTTTATAGTAATTTTAAAATAATATAAAATAATTTTAGATAGTTTATTTTTTTTCTGATGATTTATATTTATATTTATATTTATGTCCAAGTAATATAATGCAGTTTAGATATCAACTATTGAAATTTTGATTTGATTAAAAATAAATTGATTTGTATTTCTTTTTGTATAAAATTTAAAAATCTAATAAGTACTGTCAAATAGAACAATGCAGCACATATCAATCAAAAGTTTTAGAAGTTTCAACATAGTCTAAAACATTGTTAATCAACTTGCTTGATTTTCAAATATTGGATCATTTAATTGAATTTTTTGTCCAATGCAACAATCTACATCTCAATTTTTGATAAAAATAAATACAAAAGAATTACAAATAGTTCATTTCTATTTTCTAAAATCATCATCAATAAACTCCTACCAGTAGAAGTAATTATTAAAAGCCAAAAAAGTCTAATAGTTTGTAATATTACAAACACTTTAAATGAACTTGTCAATTTTTAATTGATACATATAGAAAGTATGATCCAAAATAGATTAGATATCTCATATTTACAAATATATTCTTGACTTATTTTTAGTTTTCAAAATTCTAAGATTCAAATTTTAAAACAAATGTTTTTATCCCAAATGGTTTGCAAGCCTTGGGTTTAAAAAAAGACTTGTTAAGTTTTTTAATGTATTTAAATTCTCATTAAGTATCAAATTTGTTAATTTTTTTAAATACCATGAGACTTGTTACAATTAGTTAATTTTTCAGTTTGTTATGATTGTCAATAATCACCAAATTTACATTATGCTCATAATGGTTTTTTTGAATGATTTATTTTATCATAGTTTAGCTTCAATAAAAACAATAAAACAAATTCGAATAAAACTTGATTTCAACAAATCATGTATGCTTGCATTTTATTCGCAATATTTTTAAAAATATGTTGTAATTTTTATTTGATGTTTTGCAATATTTTCTTCTTGAAGCAATCATCTCAGATAATATATAATTTAGTTCTTATGACTAGTAAAATACAAAAAAATTACATTTTTGAATTTTCCTGAGACTATGTAAATCTAAATTTAATTTCTTTCAAAAAAAGTTTACCTATTTAAAAACTTGTAAGTTTTATTTACAACAAAACCCATTATTAAGCTTTCTTAACTTTTGATTTTTGATTTTTTCTATTTTTTATGTAAATCTTTATATTTCTTTAATTGTATTACTCAAGCCATTAGACTATAGTTTTTTTCTTTATTTATTAATTATCTTGTTAAATTATACTTTTATGACTATATTTTGATTTTAATTATTTTGTCACTATAATAAATTTATTTTATATAAAAATAATCAAGTAAGATGATAAAAATTATCTAATTTATTAATTAATTAATTAATCATATATATGATTAATATAAGTATATATATGTTTTATGGATTCTTATAGCCTGCCTTTAGCTCATACCACCATTGTTTAGCATTGATTCTAGAAAGTACAACCATCAACCATATTCTAAATACTAGTTGAATCTATATTGGTATCACAAAATCTCAAGAATTTGATTAGTCTCATCACATGTATTTTGTCCAAGTTCCACCTACTATTCTTTGCTTTCATGGTTGAAAGTTATTCTTGTGTATAATATCATGGAATTTCCCATTAGTTCCAATAATATAGAGCATAAATAAAAACATTAGCTGAATATAATAATTAAAGTGACAATAAAATAAATTTATTTTAAAAAATGGATGTTGTTAAGAAACTATTGACATTTTTTACTAGAAATTACACTTGAAAAACCATACTTTTTATGTAATATTTCATATAATGGTTCTAAAAACAAACCAAGATAATATTTGAGTGATTAGATGTAGGCTACTCAGTATAATAGATTGTCAAAACATACATGTTGTGAATTCTAAGTGCATAGAAATAGACAAAGACATCCAAAATAAAAGACAAAAAATTCTCAAATATTTTTCAAACATCTTATAGATACAATAAAATTTCTTTAAATTTAAAAATTCTATATTTAGATTCTTATAATTTTACAATCCAATGAATCATAGTACATAATTATAATTAGACTTTTATTCTATTAAACTCAATAATATTAATTTATCCTTGAAGTATTATCAAATTAAAAAGATGACATCTTATACTTTAGTTGATTATCTCACATTAAATAACCAAGTAATATAAAATATAGTAGGAACAATAATTCTCCACATTAAAAGATTATTAAGATTTCAATGCCTTTGGAAGGAAAGTTTATCAAGTTCTACGATATAGAGAGGCTTTATTAAGCACCATGATTGATTTTCTATCAGTTTGTTACTAAGTTACTAAAGTTAGATTGTAATGATATCGTATTATAATTGCTTATAGTATGTAAAAATTAATTAAGACATATAATATGTTTGTAAGTCTTAATGTAGATTAGAGTGGTTAATAAATAAATTTAAAGAAAATTGACATAAGAAAATTTATGTGGAAATTTATCTATTTTGATTTTAGTGTTTATATTATGTAGGATTTAAATATTTAGTATAAAGCTTAAGAGAAGGTTGGAGTCTAAAGATGAAAGTCTAAACTATTAGAAGGCTTATTGGAAAGGATGAAAGCAAGGTATGGTTGGATGAAGGCAAGGGGTGAAGACCTTCATCCCTATTGGTTGAATGTCATGCCTTCAAGGAGGATACCCGAGCCCTTATTAGGGATTAGGGTTTCTTTTTCAAGGACATTTGAGCTTTAGAGGCTAGAATCAGCAAGTTCAGGATTTTGGATATAATTTGGATGAAGAGTTTGTGTGATTTCGAGTTTTTGTGAAAGAGATATAGGTGTTCAAA